TATATATAATATGACAGAAATAAAAAATATATTATATAAATAAATATACTGTAAATTCCCGGTAAAGGAAGGCAAGCTTAAATACTAAATATTCTACCTCGAATCCACAGAGAGAGCAGAGGAAAGTGACGAGGACTCGAGGAGTAGAGGAGCATAGTGCAAGACCAAGAAAGGGTGAAGAGATCGCTGCTTGATGGCTCCTCTGAAGAAATTGAAGAAGGCTAAGAGAAAATTGAAGGATTCCTCTAAATGCGGAAACCCTTCTTCAGCGCCTAAGCCACCGGAATCTCAGCAGGCGGACAACGACTGGTGGTATAGCTTCTGGCACAAGAACTCCGACTCAGGTAAGCAAAACCAGAGCCTATAAGTATGAACTTAGTTTTGTTTCTTTTTATCTTCTGCTAGTTGAATTTCGTTATTAGCGCTTTTTGAGGGTTTTTTTTGGTACTTCTTGCATAAATTTTCTTGACAGTTTTTGGAATCAATCGGTTAGCTTGGTGGGTTTTAGGGAGCTCAGATCATTTTCTTCGTGAGATTTTCCATGTTTGTGACATCCTTTTGATTGAAGGTGACCTAAATTTCTGGCACTCATTTAGATACTGATGATAGTAACTCATGTGACTCTTTGCTATTTGGATGATGCATTTCTTATATTACAATGAGTATTTAGCTGTAGAATAAATGGTTAGTAAGACATGCCTCTCGATAACTTTGCATCTCTTTCTACCCGACTTGCATTCCTATTAGTCATTATGAGTATGATAATCTTCTTTTATAGGAGTTTTAACCTGGATTCTTTAGATTGTTATGAAGGTTAATAGGAGACGGTGTGGAAACATTTGTGTTAATAGAGATGCCATGATTACACAATGCATGAATGGGTATTGTAAATTTCTATCAATGAAGGTTTATATTTGATCGAGAAATATGTGATATTCAATTAAGAATCTAATCCTTCATGAATTTTCTTTACGTGATTTGAATGACTCTCCATAAATTAGTACCCTTCCTACGCATGGTTGTAGTAGTTTTATTTATCTGATGGAGAGGAAAATATTTGTTGCAATAAGTTGAAATCCTAATCTAGTTGCCCAAGGGCCGGCTCATGTGTTCTATAGGAGGCGGAAGCAGTGCGCCTCCATTGACTTGGCCCATCCATAGGGTGGGCCCCACTTGTTCAAATTGATTTCAATTTGAAAAGGAGGGGGCGGCTAGGGCTTGGAAGGGAAATTAGATTAGGAAAGCTTTTGTATTAAAGAAGACGAGAGGATTAGGGAAGATTATGTTTTGATTGATTTGAATTAGGGTTTCTTGGCGACTTGGGCTCTAGACTCTCTTGTGTAGAGATTTGGGAGAGACGATCCTCCTCTCGAATTGAGGATCTCTTATATCTTGCTTTGAGTATTGCTTTGCTTTGTTTCCTCTATCGCAATCTATCTTTTCTAGATTGTTTTGTCCAGATTTTCTTATTTTTCTCGCTGTTTTGAACCAATTATTTTTAAGGTTGCCTGCAAACTCGTAGTAAAATTTGATAGGATTACTTACGAACTCAAGCATTTCCTATCAGTATCACTAAGACTTGCAGCAATATTAATTGATAATTATCATTTTGAACTTTTATAATGTAGTTAATAAAAGTTTCTTTCATCTAATCCAAAGTTCTTACACATCTAGAAGTTTCTTTCATTTTCAAAATTTTCACTTCAAACTAACTCAAGGTATATCAATTACAAGTAGTCAAGTAGGAACACTTAAGTAACCTATTTTTAAATATTTTTGTAAGCATGTTCACTAATTAAAAATATCTGATCTTGTTGCTACTCCATTATGTAATCCTACAAACATTAACAATACTTTGCCCACTCCCCTATTTTTAATGCCAATCACTTCTAGATCATACAAATCTTTCCTAAGTACAATATACATTTGGCATTTATATTTTCTCCTTAATATCCATTGAATCAATTCTCATAATCTTTAATGGTACTGCTCTTTTCAAGATCAATAAGCACAATTTAAAGATCTTTTTGTAAATGTGCATTTTACTCTTCCACATTTTACTCTTCTAAAATTTTTTCTTTCTTCAAATTATTATTATTATTATTTTTTTTAAAACATAATTCTTATATTTTATATTTTTCTCAAGCTAAATTACTTCCATCCACCAAAAAGAAATTTTTTCACATAGGATAATACAAACAATGCCACAAAGAAACCATGATCATGGTAAATTCTTCAAATATAATGATAAGTGTGATATACAAACTAGATTTCATACTTACAGTTGAGCAAATAAATCTATTTAAATTGAGTGTGACCGCCAACAAAAGTAACAAAGTGCCTAAATTCTGAGTGGGTAAGAACATATTCGAATCTCAAATATTAAAATGAACTAACTCAAATGAGAAACTTCTAAGACTTGACATAGTAGATGGAAAAGGACCCAATGATGTTTACTTAGTTCACGTACATTATATTCAAATTTATATAAAGAGGTGGAGAACTGGAGATAGTAATAAACTTCTGAAGACTTAATGATGGGTTGATCCAAATAATAATGCTATGGATATGGAGTGCTAAAAGAGAAGGTAGAAGGGACTTTTAATTGTTTAGTAAGCTCCACCAGCTTCAACATTTCCACTGATTTCCTTTCTCATATTCAAATCCTAGAAAATACAATGAGAGAGATAAAATATTACATAATAGTTATGAGTTTTAGTGTGATCATGAATGAATAGCAAGTTTGTAGAAAATTCTAGAACATTTTAAAGCATTTGGGAGTGATAAACCATTGTAAAGAAATAGGTGGTAGGTAGAGAAGTCAAGTCAAGGAAGGCAAATACTTGTTGAATAACAGTCGATTACCTGTTATATTCAAAGTTCCAAAATATAAAATCTAGGATGTATTAAAAGAAGCTGTTATTTGAGAACCAAAGGAGGAAATGAGGAAGTAAAAAAATTCATGAGAGATCAATCACAATGTTAGGGATTGTATTGTAGAATCTGCCATTTGTTGTCTTCATTTTTAATGAGATTGATTTCCTTCTCTTGGGCTTAGCCTTAGTGTTTAAGTTTCCTTTTTTAATGTAGGGCTTTCCCTATATGACCCTCTTAGGTGGATTACCCAACTCATAAAGAGTGTTGCTTTTAGGATTTTGATTTGGATCAAAGAAGCTACTCTTCACAAGGTTGAGATTTGAGTCCATTAAGATTACAACCACTCCAAGGATGTTAATGAGAATATCCTCTTGGAACTGCTGCTTGGATAAAAATTTGTAGAACCTTCTTTTAAGTCATAATAGTACCGGTCTTTTGATGCTTGATGATAAAGATGTTGCTCATGTTGGAGCTAGCTATAACAATGCTTTATTGTTGAGGAGGGATGAAGCCTTGTCGTTATCATGCTTGTTTGAGTGAATGATCTGTTGGGTAGTACTATATCTCATAGTTTAAAAAAAGGGGCGCCTCTGTGCAATTTCACCCCCAGACGCCTCCCATAGTTTTAAAGTATGACACATTAACTTAATTCCTCTATAATTCGCACAATTTTGTGCATCACATTTATTTTTAAAAATAGGAATTAGCACACTCATTTGACATTTTTAGTCTTCAAAACAATATTAAAAAATTTAGTAAGCCAAGAAATTCCTTCATCTCCTGAGCATTTCCACACCTCTATTGGAATATCATCAAGTCACAATCCCCTCACTAAGGTTTGATTTTTCATCTTATATAAAATCTAAGGTTTAAATTTTTTTGAGATTTTTGGTTTGATTTTGCATTTGTGCATTAGGAAACATGGTTAGGGGCAAGGAAAAGTCAAATACGTCATTGCAGAGGGACCCTTCTTGGAAGTACGGTGTACATGTTGACATAGACGGCGGCGAGAAGACATACGTGTATTTGAAATGCAATTTTTGTAATAAAGTGGTGAAGAGAGGAGTTACCGCATGAAGGAACATTTATCCGGCTCACATAATTGTGCATGGGGCAAAAAACCTGAGGGGAAGGAAATACGAAGGCTGATTCTGAATGATAAATTTTGGGCAAGTGTCGCCTATGTCATATTTAGCATATGACCCTTAATACAAGTGCTACGATTAGTGGATGCCGAGAAGAAATCAGCCTTGGGTTTTATATATAATGCAATGGATGAGGCAAATGAGTTGATTGCACATAACTTGGGAGGAGAGGAGGCTAGTTATTGAGAGATTTGGGATATCATCGATGCTCGGTGGGAGGTCCAGTTACACCGTCTTCTACATACAGTGACGTATTATCTCAATCCAGTTTTGGGCCTCACTTTTTCTTCCTCTGGATGTGAGCGAAACTGGAGCACATATAGTTAAGTACAAACGAAGAGAATAAATCGACTTTCAACACTCAGAATGAACTCCTTGTGAATATTATGCACAACAATAGGTTGAGAGATAAGAGGTTGAGGAACAAGGGGTTGAAGGATGATGAGGACCCTTTGGTGTGTGATGATGTGATGCCTGATAATGAGTGATTCATAAATGATGAGACAGATTTGTTATTATTAGACCTGCAACTAAAGGATCTAAGTGTGAATGTCTTGTGGGGAGAAGCAGATCAAGCGGGCACATCCACTAGTACCACACCACACACATCCACTAGCACTGCAGCACAATAAGCAAACAAAGGTATCTCACAATTTATTATGTGCTATTACATTTAAAATATATGCAATGAACAACACACTAATCATTCTTATTGAATAGGGAAGATAAAAGTTGGTAAGATTGAAGATGATGAAGATTTGACATTCATAGATATAATTGAAGATGAATATGCCTCCACTGAAGACCCATTCAGTGATGGAACATGATTGAATTTTATATGTTCTTTCTTATTTGTACTTTGGGAGTTCTGATAGACTTCAATTTGTAGTTTTGTATTTTGAATTATGCTATGAGATCCATATATTGCATCTATTTTATTGTTTTTCACTAAGTTCGCTTCTCATTTAGATGTTTTTATTGTATCATAGACTTTTACTGTTATTTACCTGCTAGAATACTTAAATTCGCATTTACGCAATTCTTCGTCCGTGAGGTTTACGCCTCTCCTCACGGACGAAAAATGCCTCAAGGTTTATTTATGCAATTTTAAACCTTGCTATATCTAATGATTGTAGATGAAAGTGTTGCCTTTTATGGGAAATAAAGATGACCCAATATTTTTTTTTTTGAAGGTTTAGTGGACTTAAGAAGGCTCTATTGACTAAGCTCAAGTTTGGTAGGCTTCAGATATGAACAATTTGATTTTCAACAAATCTAACATCAGTTCAAGGTTAACTAAAAGTCATTCACTTCGATCTCAA